CTTCCGGCGGTGGCTGAAGCCGCCCTGCTCTCCGAGACCCGGCGGGAGGGCGAGGCGCTCCGGCTTCGCGGACAGCATGAGCGGTGAGTGGGGCTGCCGGCACGGGGCTTTGGGGTCCCGCGCCTGGCTCGTGCGGAAGACCGGGGGAGGGGGAGGGGAGTGGCGCTCTGCACATGCCCAGGGGCGCCCTCCCCCGTGGTTAGCCTTCTGTACCCTCTACGGTCGGTGCTTCCCCTGAGCTTGCAGAGCTTCCCTGAGCCTTTGAATCCGTCCAAAGCTCAAGGCACTTGGGGTATGCTCAGAGGTACCCTGTCCTTCGCTTTTGTTTGTTGCTTTGTTCGCTCTTCGGGCTTTGCTTTAATACGACAGGGTGCTCTGTGTGTTCTCAGGGTACCTTTCCTGCTTTAGGATGGCAGGCACTGCTGGGGGGTTGGCACGAAGCACTCTGTGCCCGCTCAGAGGCACTCTGCCGCTTTTCTTAAGGGGTTGATGAGGCTCCGGGCCCTCTGTACCCGCTCAGAGGCACCCTGCCAGTTTTCCTAAGGGGTTGATGAGGCTCCGGGCCCTCTGTACCCGCTCAGAGTGCCCTGCTATTTTTATTCCTCCTTCGGGGCATGATAGGGCTCTGGTCTCTTGGCGTAAGCCATTCCTCGTCTGTGGCGCTGTGTCTTTTTGTTTCAGTTCTGAAAGTGGAAATGAAATGTAGCCTTTTGTTAAACTTTAGCTCGCTTGTTTGAATTGGCTATTAGTCTGTTTTTCAGAACTAAATTCCATGCTCGCTCCTGGCTGGAGCTGCTAGAGTTTGCCCTCCTTTTATGACAAAGCTCTCCGAGTTGCTGATGGGGGCATGAATACTGTACTTGGATGTGGTTATTTGACAATAGAATTGCTCAGGCAGATTTCTTTTTTAATGGAGCGATAAAGCATGCACTTGGACAGGAAATCCAGATTCATTTATTAGCACGCTCACCCAAGTGATTTTGATATTGGCGGGTCCTGTTTTCACCACTGGTGCTTAAATATTTGTTTACCTGTTGAGTGAATTTGGTAAAAAGGATCAACAGCAGTTTTTTGTGTTGTTGCCTTTGTGTAACTTTGTATCTCTTGCTGACTTATTATCTTACATTGTTTGTTTAATCTTGCAGGGTAAGCAAACTACCTTGTGTGGGTAAGCGAGTACTATAGCTTCAAATATCTTTGACTCCTTCTGCAATTGGACTGTTACCTGCCATAACTGAAATCCCATCTGTCATTTTAGGAAAGAATCTGGGTCCCAGCATAATAAAAAGCCCACATTTTTTGAGAACAACGCTTATATGTTTGCAGTCATGCTGTTATTCCATTACAGCTTAAGTGACTTTCCCCCTATGTTCCATTTGGAATATTTCTGAATTTTACCTGGGCTGTCCATAACACCAACTGAGAAGAAGTAGCTTAGAAGATGTTCTTGATCATAAAGCCTCCAAATCACAATAATTTTAAAATAAGACAGTCTGCACTTCACATGCTTAATACTCCTCCCTTCTGTTGTATTGAAAATTACAATTTGTTAGCCAGCAGCCTTCATTTATTTTTCCTTTTCTTTTACCCCAAATCAAGAAGGGAATCTCATAAGAACTAAGGGCCTTTGGCAAAGTGAGAATATTCCTAGTATAATTTTGCAAGACATGTACTTAGATGAGTAGTTGCTGCTCCAGAGTACAACAACAACTTGATATCTGTATTTTTTGTGGAGTAGTTTAACATACTGAATCGCTGATTTGCTGAGGCTTGTTTGGAATTTAGGAATAAAATGTACTGCAGCTGAGTAAGGATGGAAAGTGATAGCAAGACAGCAATCTGGTGCCATAAATGACTGCTTTTTCTTTCCTTCCTCCTCCCTCTCTGCTTTCTTGAATTACTTAAGGAATAATTGGTAACTTATATGGAGATCAGCTTGGGCCAGGAGTCCAAAGTTGAAGACTGTAGGTCTCAGAAATTGTGTGAGCATGACAGAATGCAAAATTAGCAGCTTAGCTAACTGACATTGGGGAATAGGATGATGTCTCTGATAATTGGACCATTAATATCAGTTTCCGTAAGTGCTGATTAGGTTTTTAGTTAGAAATCTTTCTTGTTCTACTTGAAAATCCTGTAGATCGATTTCGAGACACTTGCAAATGAAGGGGTAGGTATCTGTTTTGCCCGAGTATAATCTTTTGAGCTTCCCGTAGACCTCTAATAATGGTGTACAAAATGTTTTGAATTTGAAACATCCTATTTTGAGCTTCTAATGTGCTATTTCAAATTGAAAATGAAGGTTCTAACCTTACAGGAAGAGTTACGAGTCTTTTCGGACAATTCCAGTAGTATTCCAAGCTCAAAATAGCTTCATGTTTGTGCTTGAAATTCCTGTTTCAGATTTGAACCAACTATTTATAGTCAGAACACTTCTTTTTAGGTTGGATACCTTTGGTACAGATGTGAACCACCCAACAGCCTGCTTTAAAATAAAAGCAACTGATTTGAACACAAACCAGAGTGTTTTTCAAGCTTGACCCTTTTGGAATTGGAAGCCTATTCAGCATCTCTACTGGTTGACCGTTGTAGGAAGTGGGATGGCAGGTGAGATATGTCTTTAGTGGGATTTAACCAGGGCTGTTCTTTGCGGAATTTCTGGTGTATGCTATGCATGCTAGCAAATATCCTAGAATCTGTGGCTTCACGTGTATTGTGACAGAAAAAGCTGACAACTGAAATGTTAGGACATGATACTCCCCCATCTCTACCCTGATTTAATAAAACAGACAGACACAGAACAAATGGAATATTTGGGAGAGAAAAGCTGTTGCTCTTAAGAATGCAAGAAAAGCCAAGTTAACAATGTACTGCAGCTTTCAGCAAATGCTTTCATAATTTGATTTCCATGTTGCGCTAAGACATGATTTGTTTAGCTGTGGCTTCTTGTGGGAGTCAGAAACATACTACCAGGTCCCTAACCCAAATGAAAATTGAGAAATGGACAAGTGAGATTTTTAGATGGGAACATCCTGCATGAGGTTACTCAGATCTGGTGAGGTACGCTATCTTGCGTACTTTCATCCATTTAAAAAACTTGGGACGAATATTGGAACGAAAAGAGATAGTGAATGTAAGTGAGATGGGAGAGCAGTATGAACCAAGTTGTTCCAAGTGAACTTCCTGTGTCTTGGGAAGGGAATCGATATTTTTTTTTTCAGCACCTGGATGCCATGTCTCAACAGTGACATCAAAAACTACCAGGAAGAGCTACAGCAAAATGTTGCAGTATACTTTTAAACATTTTGGATTTCAGACAGCTAGTGTTTTCCTCTGGGATAATGCAAACTGTTAAGGCTTCATTCAAGACTATCCACGTTTCTTTTTGTTTCATGGTAGCCCTTTCTGGCTCTATTCCAAGATGGGGCCCCAAGCTTGTTATTAAAAGTTGATTATTGGTCTAGAAATCTGCATTTCTGGATAACCTCGTGATGCATAAAACTTCTTTCTGCATTATATCAAGTATGCCAAGTAACCTT